ATGCCATGTAACCAGTCCCAACTATCAGATGTCATAAATTATTACCTATATGCCAGGTGACCAGTTCCAACTATTAGAAGTCATAAATTATTGCCTGTATGCCATGTAACTAGTCCTAACTATCAGAAGTCATAAATTATTACCTGTATGCTCAGTGACCAGTCTCAACTATTAGAAGTCATAAATTATTGCCTGCATGCCAGGTGACCAGTCCCAACTATCAGATGTCATAAATTATTGCCTGCATGCCAGGTGACCAGTCCCAACTATCAGAAGTCATAAATTATTACCTATATGCCAGGTGACCAGTTCCAACTATCAGAAGTCATAAATTATTGCCTGTATGCCATGTAACTAGTCCTAACTATCAGAAGTCATAAATTATTACCTGTATGCCAGGTGACCAGTCTCAACTATCACAAGCCATAAAGTATTGCCTGTGTGCCATGTAACCAGTCCCAACTATCAGAAGTCATAAATTATTACCTGTATGCCAGGTGACCAGTTCCAACTATCAGAAGTCGTAAATAATTGCCTGTATGCCAGGTGACCAGTTCCAACTATCAGAAGTCATAAATTATTGCTTTTATGCCAGGTGACCAGTCCCAACTATCAGAAGTCATAAATTATTGCTTTTATGCCAGGTGACCAGTCCCAACTATCAGAAGACATAAATTATTGCTTTTATGCCAGGTGACCAGTCCCAACTATCAGATGTCATAAATTATTGCCTGTATGCCATGTAACCAGTCCCAACTATCAGATGTCATAAATTATTGCCTGTATGCCATGTAACTAGTCCTAACTATCAGAAGTCATAAATTATTACCTGTATGCCAGGTGACCAGTCTCAACTATCACAAGCCATAAAGTATTGCCTGTGTGCCATGTAACCAGTCCCAACTATCAGAAGTCATAAATTATTACCTGTATGCCAGGTGACCAGTTCCAACTATCAGAAGTCGTAAATAATTGCCTGTATGCCAGGTGACCAGTTCCAACTATCAGAAGTCATAAATTATTGCTTTTATGCCAGGTGACCAGTCCCAACTATCAGAAGACATAAATTATTGCTTTTATGCCAGGTGACCAGTCCCAACTATCAGAAGTCATAAATTATTGCTTTTATGCCAGGTGACCAGTCCTAACTATCAGAAGTCGTAAATAATTGTCTGTATGCCAGGTGACCAGTTCCAACTATCAGAAGTCATAAATTATTGCTTTTATGCCAGGTGACCAGTCCCAACTATCAGAAGTCATAAATTATTACCTGTATGCCAGGTGACCAGTCCCAACTATCAGAAGTCATAAATTATTGCTTTTATGCCAGTTGACCAGTCCCAACTATCAGAAGTCATAAATTATTATCTGGATGCCAGGTGACCAGTCCCAACTATTAGAAGTCATAAATTATTACCTATATGCCATGTAACTAGTCCCAACTATCAGAAGTCATAAAGTATTGCCTGTGTGCCATGTAACCAGTCCCAACTATTAGAAGTCATAAATTATTACCTGTATTCTCGGTGACCAGTCCCAACTATCAGAAGTCATAAATTATTACCTGTATGCTCGGTGACCAGTCCCAACTATCAGAAGTCATAAATTATTACCTGTATGCCAGGTAACCATTTCCAACTATCAGAAGTCATTAATTATTACCTATATGCCAGGTAACCAGTCCCAACTATCAGAAGTCATAAATTATTACCTGTATGCCAGGTAACCATTTCCAACTATCAGAAGTCATTAATTATTACCTGTGAGCCAGGTGACCAAGTTCCAACTATCAGAAGTTGTAAATAATTACCTGTATGCCAGATGACCAGTCACAACTATCAGAAGTCATAAACCATTGTTTATACTTTTGCTTTTAGGTGAGAATGCAATTCGTCTTGTTGGAGGTTCTTCAGCACATGAAGGTCGTGTAGAAGTGTGGTATGATGGACAATGGGGTACAGTATGTGATGATGATTTTGGTACTAGTGATGCCAGAGTCATTTGTCTTGAATTAGGTAAGTAATATCACTTTTATTAGTTCATTCATTTATTCAATTATTTTCAACAATTCCAGCCATTCACTATCAGTATGAAGAACAACACAAGAATAACAGAATTCAAACAGCCTTAAATTTTGTTATTGATATAGAGATGACATTTGCTGATTTCAGTAAGTCTGCCCAGAGTTCACATTATTGATATAGAGATGACATTTGCTGATTTCAGTAAGTCTGCCTAGAGTTCACATTATATCTTTGGATCAAAAATGTCAATTATTTTCACCCACTAAAGTGTGCCACCAGATTTACTGAGAAGCAGAAAATTATATTCACAGATGAGACATCATTGAAACAAACACACTTCTTTCTCTTGAACTTAAAATCTTCCATATATACCATAATTGTTTACAGGTTATCCAAATGAGGATGGCACAGAAAGTTTTGGTCCAGGCTCTGGTCCAATCTGGTTGAGTCATCTGAGTTGTCTGGGGAATGAGGCATCAGTGTTTGAGTGTCATAATGATGGACTATTCAATCATTTAGATTGTGATCATTCTGAAGATGCTGGTGTTCGATGTGTGGCATCAGGTCAGTTTTCTACTATTAAAGCAATTAACGTTTCCTGGACAAAATCCTAATAAATATATCTGATATTGGACATTAATGTTTGTTTTTAGGCCATTTACCATTGGCTTTTGTGGTTAAACAGTTTTTATCATTTTTCTGAAATTTTGTTAGAAACGGTAAAAACATTATATGTTGTATAAGGATGGTACTTGGATGGATAGTTGTCAAGAATTATTGGGATATTCTGATTTATTTTTTATTATGAATTACTGTAATTATCTGAGTAAGCGCCCAGGGTCCTGAACATGGAAAATTGCCAAAAAATAGGGGTGGGCGTATGCCCAGACATCCCTGCAAACACACACAGATCACACTACAACAGGGGATAGAACGGCGAAAAAAAAACATGCACCAGAAAGAAATGAACAATATGCAACATTAGAAGTATAACAAACCAGAAATAATAAAAATCGACAGTGAGGAATCGTTTGAATTAGGATTTCCTCGCCGACAAGCACGCATGAAATCAAAATGAATAAAAATATTAACTGTGTAAAATTATTTCCAGTTTTGACAAATACCAGTTCATCAGCCATACAAGATCAATAATAATTTACGCAGTAAAACGAAAGTTCATAGTTGTTTTAAAAAAAAACACTTCTATTTATATGTTCATTGTAAAAGTCAAAACCCTCAAAGTTCAAGTCGGTGTCATTGTCGTGATCGAACAAAATCCTTATAGCTTCATCCTGAAGTTCGTCGATGTCGTCCCACACAATTTGGACTTAGCACATTTAATCAACAGATTTCGCTGTTTGTCAGCTTGGCACTTTTAATTCACGTCTAATCAGGAAAAAGAGACAAAAAAATTGGGTCGCAGCAATCCACAATGGTTTCATTGTCAATGACACTAAAGCCGAACAAGTGCGACACTTGCTTCGCTGCTCTCTGTAAGATTTGCATGAATCATTTCTAAGGAAGTCAACTGTTAATACAACGCCCCCAAAAATAGTTTTTTTTTATTACAAGTGTAGAAAAGACACTCTTGGCGTATGAGCGGACATGACCTTAATCTCTTTATTGTATCAAAATTGGCGGGTAGGTAGGGTGTTACCCAGGCATACCAGGATAAATACGGTAGTGCTTTAATGTGTGTTCTCCAAAAAGTGTATTTTGTTCCAGGTTCATAATCAATTATTAATCAACAGTATATGAAAAATTCAAAATCACAAATCTTGATAATTTTTAGCCCCTATTTACGGTATGAGACTAAATATCTGAATGATGGTATTTGTAGTGAGTTCTATTAGTGCATGTATGTTGAGAAACAGAGATGATAAAATCGAATGGAGTTAATATGTAGAGCGTCTATCACACACTATAATTTGAAAAAATGTGTTGTTTAAAAAGCTATAAAGCAACAGACCATTGGTTATTATTAAAGTTTTTTTTTTATTATTTGAAATGTAATTGCACCTTTCTAAATTATTAATAATAATTTTTTCAGGTCAATCTTATCAGATTCGATTGTCAGGAGGAAGAGAAAATGTACCTTTTGAAGGCAGGGTTGAAATTTATCACAATGGTGAGTGGGGAACGATATGTGATCCAACATTTGGCAACAGTGAGGCAGGTGAGTGACCCTTTTTTTAATAATTCCTGTTTGGACAAAGTCTAAAAATGTAGAGTTGGTTTTCACCTTTAATAATAATAATAATAATAATAATAATATGAGGTTATTACGAGGATACATCAAAGTATGCATGATGACAGTACAGCTGAAATATCGAGATGTGTTGTGAACTGTCTGAGTGCACACTTTGTGGGATCGTAATACGCTTATTATTATACATCTTTTCCCTCCAAGGGAATGCCAACATTTTTAGAACAGAATTAGCAAAATTCTTGGTGTGGAGTCCGGTCAAACCCTGGTGGCAGCCATGGATGTTTTTATTACTAGAGGACGCTTACAAGCGTAATAATTCCATATTTGGAATTCGTATTTCCTAATATGGTAGGATGAAAATATCCCGTAAAATACCGCAAAATTACGGCATGCTGTAACTTATGGCGTTACAGTGACTAATGTATAATAATAATAATCTTTGTTGCAATCTTTCTACCTTTGCATGTTATATGAGACAAGCCTGAATTCATCACATACATTCTGTATTTATATATGCACATCCATGATGGTTCATTTTGTGGCATTAGCAGAACAATACTAATTCATATAGTATATCCTATGACTACAAATATGTGTATTTTTTAGCAGAAAAAAACAACAATTTTTATTTATTTTACTTTTTAGGCAATATCTTTACTTTCAGTGTATTTGTGACATTTTAATTTTCATTAAAATATTTATATACATGAGTAATATGCAAACCGAAAATTTGAACAAATTCACTACTGTATTTCTCACATAATAGATAATAGAATTTTCTCAGTGGATATGATGTCACACTTTACCTACAATCCTTTGCTGGACAATCAAAATGGCAGACTACATAATACTAATGAAAATTTGAATATCTGGAGAATGAAAAGTACATTTGTATCAAAAAACAAGCTGCCTGTCGGCTGAGATAGCTCCGATGTTAGCAATGCACATGGCAATTAAAGAACAGAAGATATCATTAGAAAATGAACAAATCTGAGAGAGGTCCACATGTAGTACCTATATGTATAATATATCAAAGCAATTGGACTTGCGGTTTTCAACAAGAAGTCGAAAATATTACTTTTTACCAAAAATTACAAAAATATTCACCAAAATTAGAGAATTGAAGATATCATTATGAAATGAACAAATCTGAGAGAGGTCCACATGTAGTACCTATATATGTAATATCAAAGCAATTGGACTTGCGGTTTTCAACAAGAAGTCGAAAATATCACTTTTTACCAAAAATGACAAAAATATTCACCAAAATTAGAGAATTGAAGATATCATTACAAAATGAACAAATCTGAGAGAGGTCCACATGTAGTACCTATATATGTAATATCAACGCAATTTGACTTGCGGTTTTTAACAAGAAGTTGAAAATATCACTTTTTACCAAAAATGGCAAAAATATTCACCAAAATTAGAGAATTGAAGATATCATCATGAAATGAACAAATCTGAGAGAGGTCTACCCAAGGTACATATACACCAAGTATCAAAGCATTCAGGCTTGTAGTTTCCAAGAAGAAGTCGAAAAAGTAAAACATTGACATGGACGACGGACAATCACTCATATGATAAGCTCCGCTCGACAAAGTCGACAGCGGAGCTAAAAAAACTGTAAATTGCATTCTCCTACATTTGGGATCATTATGTTGTTAACCTTGACTTTTTTTTAAAACATTGCTGCAACATCTTCATGTTGTATCAATGAATATGTCTATAGTTGTTCTATTATCCAAATGATAATACTTGGTATCTATCTTGAAAACTATAACAAATATGGTTACTAGCTTGTATTGTGATTGTAATGCATAATATGCATATGTTAACTTACAATAATCATGTTGTTGTTTTCAACTTTCAGCTGTAGTCTGTAATCAGCTTGGTTATGATGGACTCCATGAGGTTAAACATTTTGGACCTGGTGTTGATCCTATCCTGATTGGTAGCATTGATTGCTGTGGCCATGAATCATCATTGGCAGAGTGTGAGCATTCTAATTGGGGTGTGCATACTTGTAGTCATTCCCAAGATGTTGGTGTTATATGCAAATGTAAGTATGATGTAATTCATTGATATATTGATATATTTTTTTTACTGAAAAATTATCTCATTGCAGCTAATAGCTACCCTGTTGATGGTACCATTACCCGCACATTCCTATTTATCCCATTACCGGCACATTCCTATTTATCCCATTACAGCTGATAGCTACCCTGTTGATGGTACTATTATCCACAAATTCCCTTTATCCCATTACCGGCACATTCCTATTTATCCCATTACAGCTGATAGCTACCCTGTTGATGGTACTATTACCCACACAATCCTATTTATCACA